GTGACAGGGACAGAGAGAGCGCTTGCGGAATGGCTGCCCGACTTCGCGATTCATGCGGCTATACTGTTAACCTGGTTAGTTCATCGCGATTGCTCGACGACACTTTGGTGTTTCCAGAACAACGGGGCGCACCAACAAATGGTGCAAAGCATGGCGAGCCGCCCATCGTTGCTGTCCTTTACAGTGTTTCAGTGCGCTCGTAACCAGTCGTCCAGACAGGGACGCGTCTGTCCGACGTACTCCTTTTCGCATCAAAGGAGAATATGACGCATTACCGCCTCTCAACGGTTCACGAACAGAGTTATTTGTCTCGCAGACCACGAAATTCGGTAGCGTGTGGGGAACGGTGGTGGCAGAATTATAGGAGAAAAATGCCGAGCCTTATCAAAATTACTGTTGATTTTTTCGTTGTCGGACTGTGATCGAATGATCGACTTTATTGATCATCAATGGTTTCGCAATACTCATTGACTTGCCTCAATACTTCGTCGACAGTATTTCTCTTGATAACTTTGTAATAATATGTCCGCTCACCCATTTCTATTGAAATATCATTGAGGGAGTATTTTGTAAACAATATTTCTGTTGTTTCTATAACGAGTTCATTATTGGCTTTTTAATCGAAAGCCGTGGGCCAATTTTCAATCCTGGTCAACAATTTCTCTAACGGTATTTTAATTGAACTGTCATGTATTCTCAATGCCATCTGTTGTCACTGCTCATTAACTTCTCTTTGTTTTTTCAATAAGAATTTTTGTAAGGGATGCTGGTGTATACACACACAGACGTATACTCCATGTTTTTGTAAGCAGTGGTTGGTGCCGTCGACATACTGAGCCTCTTGTAGAGACGTCGTGACGCGTAGGCTCCGCCCAGTCCGAAGCTCGCCGCCGCTGTTTGTGATCACATGAGAGCTGGAGAAGTTCATTTCCATGTCAGTGAACGTTCTCACGACGCACAAGCAGCTGGCAAGAAGGACTTAACAAGTTTGCAAACGACAGTACGCTGTGCTGCTGCTCACGCATAGATTACGCGCAAAGGGTTTAAAAGTGGAAGAAAGTATTGACGGGTCAGCGGTACACATGCAGGGGGGACGTTGCGAATTGATCAATCAATCAAAGTTAGGGGCAGAACGCGGTATAACGGGAATCGTGGCAGACGCTGATAACAGCGCGTTGTATGAAAACTGAAGTTCGTATGCAAATAAATAACAAAGGCATAGCCAGGATGTTGCAGTTAGGCCTTATTTGTGGGCTTCGACGTCCTAAAACCACAGGATGGTTATGAGATACGGAGTGATTGGAGGCACCGGAAATTTCGACCTCATAGTGTTTGTTAACAGGCACTCAGCTTTAAGCACGCGATTCCCTAGCATTTGGGCCCCTACAAATTGCGGCCGTCCAGGTCGGGAGGCGGCCGTTGCTTCAGAAGTCAAGCGCCAGAACCACCACACCACCGCGGTGGCTGATGGCCACGATTTTAGACTCTAACAGATGGATGAGTCCCTGTTGGTAACGAACAAGCGAGGCATCTACTGTGGTCGCTCCAGTGAGCGCACAGCCGAGTTGAGGGGCAGGCGAGTGCATATGTCAGTTTACTTGCTCTTCTTGTGTAGACAGCCAACATATGTGAACACCACACTGAGAGAACGTGAAAAGGTTGTTAGCGATATCAGCGGGGTTAAGAAACACCCTTTACATAAACACTCTTTACATCCCAGTTACCACCTCGTTTCAAAGGTGTGCTAATAAGCACCATTATGATCATCATCAACACAATAAAAGCGTCTATATTTCTGCACACCATGTTCATAATCGACACATGTCCTAAATTACTGATTGTTTTTGTGTTATTGCGATAGCAACAATTTTATGGACGCTCTCGGTTGGATTTTGCCGCTGGCGTCGACGTCCTTCACCGTATATATATATATATATATATATATATATATATATATATATATATATATATATACTTGAAAACGCAAGAAACAAAACATTCTAGGAAAAGACCCCGGCGCGCGCAATTGAACGTCCGAACTCTTGCTTGTGAATTTGAAGCGTTAACCATTGAGCCACAAAGAAGCAGCTCCTTCCACTCAGTTTGCAAATTTATTTATTCATTTATTCAGGTTACCCCTAAAGGCCCTCTAGAAGAGGGTATTACATAGGGGGGGGGGGGGGGCAAACAACATGGTTTACAGCAAGATACAGTGCAACCTGACAACCGCAACAAAGCGCAAACCATGAATACGGGCAGCAATTGCATGGCGTTATACAATAGTTAAAAAACGAAAGGAAACAAAACAACAAAAGCAAAAAAATATTTAGTTAGTCACCGTAGTGCGCATGAGCTCTGAAAACTTTACCGAGTCTTTCTCGGTGGCAATATGTGCAGGCAAACTGTTCCACTCAATAATAGTGCGTGGGATGAATGACTGAGCGAAACGAAGTGTGCGAGATATCGGGCGTTTGACTTTGTTAGGATGATCACGGCGGGGAAAGATGGAACAGGCGGGTTCAAAGAAACTGTCATGTAATGATGGGTGATTGTAAAATTTGTGGAAAAGTGATAGGCGTGCATATTTCCGACGAATGGCCAAATCCTCTAGCTCAGCACGGTTTTTTAAGTTAGGTACGCTGGAATAGGTAGAATAATCTGAGTAAATGAAACGAGCAGCTTGGTTTTGCAAAGATTCAATACTTGATACGATGTAGGCTTGATGAGGATCCCAAATGGCACTGGCATATTCTATTTTAGGGCGAATTAAACTGGTAAAAGCAAGTTTTTTTAACTGCGATGGAGCCTGTTTAAGATTTCGTTTCAGTAACCCGAGAGACCGGTTAGCAGCTGCAAGAGTGACTTCTATATGATGGTGCCAAGATAGATTCGATTGAAAGTGGAGACTGAGGTACTTGTAGGTAGATGTTAACTCAAGTGTCATATTATTGAACGAGTATTGACTAGGAAAACGTGTAGCAGCGTTAGTAAAGGACATGCACTTTGTTTTAGAAACATTTAACGACATAAGCCAAGTTGAACACCAATGATTAATTTTGTTAAGGTCAGATTGCAAAGCTAAGCGGTCAGAATCAGAAGAAATGTTATGGTATATTACGCAGTCGTCCGCGAAAAGTCGAACGTGTGAAGATAAAGAATTCGGTAGATCATTAATGTAAACGAGGAAGAGTAGAGGACCAAAAACACTGCCTTGGGGTACACCAGATGTTACCGGTAAAGAGGAAGAATAAAAGTTCATAGCAATGTGAACAAATATGCCCTAGGGGGAACCCTGGCGCTATATAGTGTCTATGGGGGCTGCAATGCATGGTGCTTCAGCGAGCATGGCAATTATGGGTAGTACGCGGATTTGCATAGTCTTCGTACTTTACGTTCCTTCTGGCTTCGCGTAGCTTGAAGCTGCTTTCTCGCGAAAAACAATCGGTAAATGTTCGGCAGTTACGCTTCACCACCTCCATCTTTTTTAGGATCACCATTTCAAGTCGGCTCAGAGAGTTTAAAACGGTTCGTTCTTCCAATCGAAACAAAACCAAAACCCAGCAATAAACGAAGCCACAAGTACGGTCGCCGCCCGCAAGCAAGACGACTACGCAAATCCATGTCATACCCATAATTTCGATGGTCGTTGAACGACCGCAGTGATAAAGTCCCTCTAGTTAATTTTAGGAAACTTTCTGCCTCCTTCAACGTTGAAAGGGCAAGCTATTTATAATGCGAAGCACGTATCTTATTCACACTCAGGTTTCAATCGGTTTTCGGCCTCAAAGCCTGTCTGGAATGCTCAGCGCAAAGTGCTCCTCATTGTTCTAGAAAGTTCAAGGTTATAGTAGATCGTTTTGTTAAGATTACGCCCACTTCGTGGGCATTACAGATTATTCGGGAACCAACGCGGCTGCTAGTGATAACGCTAGAATGTTCGACGCCACGTGTATGAATACCGACGTGCTTCACCGCTTGTCAGTTGATCGCCGGCCGACGCTCGGTTCGCTGCTATCAGTGCCCCGTGTTGCTGTAATCTAACCTTCAGTTTCCTGACCACAAGTTCGGCCAAATGAACAGTTTTGATTTGATTGATTTGTGGGGTTTAGCGTCTTTAACCACGATATGATTGCGAAAGACGCCGTATTGGAAGACTCCGTAAATTTAGACCACCTGGGTTGGTTAGCGCGCACCCAAATCTGAGCACACTGGCCTACAACACTTCCGCCTCCATCGAAAATACAGCCGCCACAGCCGGGATTGGATCCCACGACCTGCGGGTCAGCAGCCGAGTACCTTAGCCTCGAGTGTGTTCGAGTGTGTTCCCTGCGTCCACGTCACTACCCCGTGACATTCGGTAGAAGGGCTGGGTGCACACTCGTTGTTCAGATGAAACTGTTTATTCGGGTGAGCTTCGCTATATCAACATCTGCCACTTACAGCTGGTGATGAGAGCCTCGGAGGAAATATTGTGTTTTCAGCATTACCAGCGAGATGGCGAAATGAGCGCAGGCCGCGCCGCCAGATCGTCACTACGCGGCGGCGCGCGCGCTCATCTCTCCCGCACGCTTTGCCCCACGGAGAGCAGGGGGGGGGGGGGAGGTGTTGGACGATCACTCGTGCGCGCACTTATCTCGCGGTGGCGAGAATCGTTGGCTTGGGCTTTCGCCCGAACGATTCTGTTGTAGTTACCGGGCGCACAAAAGTCAGTGCTTTCGGTGCACAGTCTCCATTTGAGAAAAGGGCGCGCTTTTCAGACACAGCGAAGTTACAACTGAGACGCTTATTCGCGTTCATCTGTATTGTGAGTACGTTTCGTGCTTCATTTGTGCGTGAGAAAGGAGGGGCACGTTTCTATCTGCTTACTATTTTTCGCGTGACCTTCCAATTCGTTGCTATCGCGTTCATTGCTTCGCCTTTGTGGCAAAGGTGTGAGTTTTTAGTGTGTGTTCTTGTAACATAGTGATACTAAACGTGTATGATTTTTCGTGTCATTGCAGTGACGCTGCTGCAGCTGTTGCCCATGTCGCCGCTGGAAGCGTCACCTGAAACCACCCTCGCCTGACCAAAGCAGCCTCTGTCGGAAGACAGTGGCGACAAGAGACTCCGTTATCCTGGCTGAACCATTCGTCATGCAGTGGTGAGTGTTTATCTTTCCCGAGTACTGTCGTAAGCAAGCGTAACACGAGAGATCCGCAGTGCGTCCTCAAACAGCTTGACGCTAGCGCCGCGTAGCTTTCGGGTCTGTCGCCAAGCTGTTACTTTGCATACCGACATACCATCGAAGAATACCGAGGTGGTGTATCGGCAACAGCGCCCAGCTTTTCGCGGTTGTGATCAGTCGGAGTAGTTCAGCTCACGCGTTGGAGCGTTCGTGTTAAGCTTGCTGACGACCGTACATCCCAGAACAGTGTATCTTCTAAGCAACGATGTCACTTGGTGATGGCATTGTGAAAGGCCGCCTTGTGTGTGTGTGTGTGTGTGTGTGTGTGTGTGTGTGTGTGTGTGTGTGTGTGTGTGTGTGTGTGTGTGTGTGTGTGTGTGTGTGTGTGTGTGCGTGTGTGTGTGTGTGTGTGCGCGCGCGTGCGTGCGTGCGTGTGTGTGTGTGTGACGTCATGACGACTTCATTTTGTCGACCTCTAGCATTGTCGTGGGATGATGCTTTTTTTTGTCTCGCATTGATTGTGTTGAATTTGACGCCTGTGCCTACGGTCGCTTTGCGCGTTCGATGATGCATCTAAGGCTGTAGACTCGACAGTTTGTTTGGTTGGTAGGTTGGTGGTGATTGGATTGTTTAACGTTCCGATGCAATTGTTTGTTGCTGTGGAAAACTCCTGTTGAGAGAAGCTCTGGAAGATTCCGATAATCAATCAATCTTTATAGATAGATAGATAGGAAAAGAAAGCAGGAATTTAATTGAAGTGGAGGCAAAGAAAGAGAGGTGAGAATCAAAGATACAGAAGAAACGTTAATAAAAAGACAAAGACAAGCAAATAAATAAATTGAGCGTGTACCATTGCATTTTCGCTGAATACAAGTTCAATGTCCAACGCCTGTTTTTCACCTGGAGCGCGGACGATGTTCTCTGGCTCACCGCGATTCTATTTCAAATCGTGTTTACTTCGCAGGAACGCTGAAGAGGATTGTTACGTACACCACGTTTTGAATTACCCGCGCATCGCGAACTCGAGGTCGGGGCACTGCTCGATTTAAAAAGCTTGCGTAGGTCATTCGCGTGGAGAAGCTAACAAGCTTTCTTTTTTCGTTTTTTTTGTATGGGAAATTGGGGGAAAATCTGCTAGATCTGCTAGGCTCGATATGCGGGCCGTGCAGCTTCTCCGATCAATTTCACCGAGGCGGCATGGGATCTATACGAGCATAAGGCTCGTTCGGAGATACACTGCTAATGATATGAACCGATGAAAACATCCGGTTTTACTTCACTTTGCTTGCTGTTGTTCTTGTCGTTTTTAATAGGAACCGTCTCTCATGCTGCGAAGACTAGGTTCGGGGAAAACACGCTTGCTTTTCGACGTGTCCGGAAGCTCCATGGGGCAATTTCCTAAATCGGGTTTTAAGCTTCGCGTCGACAGGCGTGTGAGGCTGTGTGGTTTTGTGGCTAAACTCTAGTGCTCGCTAATGAGAAATTCAACTGCGCACGTAGTTTCAAAAGGATTGGTTGTAATTGTCTCTACCTGTGCCGTTTTCTTTTATTTTTGTTTTATAAGTACCTCCTGCTTGGTATCACAAGCTAAGCGTGTGGTTTTGAAGTTGTCTGTCTGCACGTGTGCAGGGTTTCGAGGCTAAAGAACCCAAAATGTTTTGACGGGCAGGATGTATCAAATAGCGTAAGGTCACTAACCGGAAGCTCACCACTTAATGCATCCTTACGATGTCGAAAGTGTAAATGTACTTTGCAAGTTGTAGGCGCGAGAATGAAGGAGCGCGTCTAATGGCTGAAGGAATGAAGGAACAGAACAAAGAAAGAAGGCAGGGAGGTTCACCAGACAGATTGTCTATTTGTCTACCCAACGTTTGGGGAAAGGGAAGTATACAAAATGATAGAAATATGAAGGGGAAAGGATGCCGTGGCTTAACATGGTAGTGGTACCGCATGCGCGAACCTGCCATCGATTAACTTGCAAAAAAAAAGGGGGGGGAGGGAAGTGAGAACTGCACGAAATTTCCGTGGCTAGACAATGAGCGTGATAAATGTATGAGAAGACGTGCACGACATCTACGAAAAACCAAGGGCCAATATAGGCCGGAACACATCTAATGTGAAGTGCACACCGTGCGACTGAGCGAAATGCGAAGCCCTTAGCGACGCCGGCATCAACGCGGGGGCAATGTAAACAAACCTACGTCACGAGTTTGGGTTGGTTAATCGCTGGCACGCGCCTTGCGCTTGTGATGACCTGCCCTTTCCTCCTTTGTTCCTGCGGCTTCGCGTGTGCTATCTCATCCCCTGTTGTCCCCTTCTCCTCTTGCCCTCCCCTCTTGCCAAACATCAGGGTATTCTCAAATGAGTTAGCTCTTCACATCAGATGGCCAAAGTATTGGAGTTTCAGCTCTGTGACGTGAGCGCACGTTCTCGTGCGCGGTGTCTACGTCACAGTTTTGCGTGATCAGGTGACCGGCTATGTTTACTTTGCCACCGGAACTGCTCCTGCCTGGCTCGGTGCTCCTTCAAATCTAAACTGAGACTGGCAGCACTAAAAACGTCTCTAGCTATATAAATAACCGTCGCGCACTCGCACAAACAAGGTTTCCGTCCGTGATAAGTGGGTCAAAGCTACCTATTTCAAAAGAAAAAAAAAAGACAAGGTGCACAATTTTTCGTGTCAGTGTTTGAAATGTTTGACGAGTTCTCTGACGCGTAGCTCCTTCCCGTCCCGTGTTTTCGATTATCAGGTGGAGCTGCATGACTGCGCATGCGCAAACAAGTGCTTGCGTTAGCTTTCTCCTCTGCCGCAGAGAGCACTTTCAGTCTATAGTCGGCGTTTGTGTTCATCTCTTCTTCTGTATCGTCCGCTGCGGTTGCACCCGAAGGTGTTAGGGTTCGATCCCGGATGCGGTGTTCGCATTTCCTCGGGGGCGAAACAGTTAGAAGCCCATGCACTGTGCGCTGTCAGTGCGCGTTAAACACCGATGGTCGAAATTCCGGAGGCCTCGCGGTGGCGTCCGTTAGTCACATCGCGATTTCGGCACGTAAAAGGACAGGCGTTAATGCTATGAAAAACCTGTTTCGCAGAATTTCCGATATCGGTGCCGTCGTCGATGTCGGCCGACATCAACGTTGGTTGTTAGCGAAAGATCGTCGTTGTGCGAGATTGACATATACGGAATGATGCAAACAAAACAAATAATGTAAATCTTCGGTTGGAGCAATCTAGCGCAGGCATTCAGCGTAACGAGCAAGAATGTCATACCGTAGGATGACCTACCATTGCTGAAACCTCTCTAGAAAAATACAGCATATCAATATCCATGTAGTGAAAAGAGCCTTCTCCCCTTCGCATGCAATAGTGGACATACAAACTATCGTGAGAGCGCAAGCTAAACGCGACACACGTGAAGGAAGGACGCCTTCGTCTGTCTGTGCGCCTGTCGTCGTCTGTTTCTTCTTGCGTGTCGTGTTTAGCTGCGCTCTCGCGATGTTTTCTGCGTCGAAGCACAAACTCACCCAACAGTCGAATCTTTTTGCAGGCAATATTTCATTTTCTCATTTCATTTTATTACCTTAAAGACCCCTTGAAAGGGGTATTACATAAGGGGTGGGAATACATTAGTACATAACTTGCCTAATGCATAAATAAACACGATAAAAAAGAAAAACACATGCGCTAAAGTACATAATTTGCATAACATGTAAATGAACACGAGAGAGAGAGAGAGAGAGAGAAACGAGAAAAAAAGGAAGGCCGGGAGGTTAACCAGATGCTAGTATCCGGTATGCTACCCTACACTGGGGTTGGGGAATAGGAGGTTGAAAGAGAAAGGGAGAGTTAAAAAATAAATGAGAGAAAAACACCGACACACACGCACACACAAAATCAGTCCACTCAGAGGCGTTCCGACAGGCCAGTAGTTCGTAAGAAGCCCAGTAGCGCTTGCACGGCTTTCTTCTGTGAACACGAGAAAAATGCAGAAACATACATGGGCTAAGGTGTTACATACGTCAGCACAAGTACAGCAAATCAAAATCAGTCCACTCAGAGGCGTTCCGACAGGCCAGTAGTTCGTAAGAAGCCCAGTAGCGCTTGCACGGCTTTCTTCTGTGAACACGAGAAAAATGCAGAAACATACATGGGCTAAGGTGTTACATACGTCAGCACAAGTACAGCAAATAATACAAACTATAATTTCACTTTTTATTGCGAAAAGGGCGCAGCGATACTCTCCGCAAACGAACACGGGCAAGTGATGGCGGCGATCTGGGGGAGAAGGTTGTTCCAATCTGTAGCGGCATGGCTAAAGAATGAGGCGGAAAAGGTAACAGTGTGCATGCGAGGGCGGCCCACTTGGAAAGTGTGCCGTGTACGATGAGATGCTCGGGCTGCGGGGAGGATATATAGGGTGGCTGATGAAGCGAGGTGTGATAAAACTTGTGGAAGGGTGAGAGGGCTGCAGTGCGCCGGCGCGTACCAAGGGGAAGCAAATTCAATTCTTTTGTTGAGTAAGATATGCTCGTGTCATGAGAATAATTAGCGTGGCATAAAGCTTAGAACCTCGCCAGCTTTCTCAAAGGTTGCGAATTCCTCGACGAGTGGGTGTTACGAATGACCACTCATTAGGAAGCGTTCTGATATATGCAATTGTCGTCATCAGCAAAAAGCGCCGACAGATTGAGTGGCTGCGTGGGTTCGCGCGTCGCTCAACGGGTGCGTATAGCGGGTCCTCCACTGATTCGCAATGGATATAATGACGACGTGGTGGGCACTGCGCTTCTACACTTGCAGCAGGCAATTAGGACACTTAAAATCGGGCAAAATTTATCAGACCCTGCTCTGGCGGCTTCTCTGGAGTACAACCACTTGTTATTTCCCTGGCGCGGTGAACTGT